GGGGGGTGGGGGGGTGGGGAGTGCAGCCACGATGACCATACCATGCTCCTAGTGGAGTTGATGTAGTAATCCTGTCTACCAAAGGGATGGCGCTGTTTAGGAACCACTGACCTGTATTCATACAAAAGTAATCCAGCTTTCGCGCCTCCCGATGATCACCACCAGCATTTACAACCACCGTGTGAGGGAAACACATGAAGGCCAAAACCAATCCCAAGTTCAGCTGGTGATTACCATGAGTCATTAAGAATGAAAGAGCGTCTTCCTGAACTATTAAATGCAAATCATTGGTCTGTTCACCAAATGGTACATGTGTGCAGTGGCTGCCAGCTGAGACTTTTCATCAGCCTACTGTGTTTAACCAAGGCAATAAACCCTTCATTGAGGGAGAAATCCGCTCTTACACGATATGTGGTATGTGGTACCAGCGCTGCCACAGTTTTATTTGTGGGATTAAAGAATCAGCTCTTGAAGAGTGGATTGTTAGTAGAATCACGGAAGAATTTTCAAGCTCAAAGCAACAACTGTGCACAAAAGTCATATGTCATTGGCCTCTGTACCAGGAGTCTCAAACTTACGACCCGGGCCGCAAACCTCCCACATCTGGTCACCACTAGGTTTGAGTTGATACATGGTAAATTACCTGGATACACGTGTCCAACACAGATACTGCGACGTGGAGTATCTGCCGTTACCGATATCAATCCGATACCTTCCTTTCTCCAACAGTATGTCGCAGAGTATCGTTGCTGAGGCGATAATGTCCCTGTTTAGAGCATGTCGCGCAAAACATTTGGACTTAGGTATCGTTTAGCATTTGGTATCGGATTGAACGGGCTATAGTTGTTTTCAAAGTTTGATTCTGAAACTTTAGCTAATATCAGATCAATGCCGAGCATCGGATCAAGCCTAGACAAATTGGTAGTTTGTTAAAATGTATTTTTTAGAGTTATATTAGTATTTCAGTTTTTAAAATAAACAAAAGAAATCTGTATTTTTTTCGGTACCGCTCCAGTGATGATGACAATGGTGGGTTTGAGACCACTGCTCTGAGCAAAATGTATGATGATAGTTACATCAGAACAAAGTCCAATGACTTGTCCAACAGTTGCTGGTCTCACACTCACATATGGTGACCCCCCCCTGCCCCCTTCCCTTTTTACACACACCCTCCTCTCACACAGGTTCTCCCTTCCTGTCAAACTTTCCAGCACAAATGTTCCCCCCTCCCTCCCTCCCTCCTCTCCCCCAGAGATCAGCACCAGGCCAGATCTGTCCCGCAGTGTCGTCCCCGTTTCCTCCAGTACAGTAACTGACACACAGAGACCCTCAGTGTGTGAGGAGGGGGCGGAGCCTCTGTGTTTGGTTGTGCTCATGGTCAGACCAGATTAAACAGCTGTGGCGACCGTCTGACACTCCCACGTCATTCCATACACCCCTTAACCACTGTAACTTAAACATCAAAGGAATATTTGGACCGTCCTTCGACCGTGTACAGTTGTTACAACACATTAGCTAAAAAAAGGAGAGGCTTTACGTCGCCATTGTCTGTTTGGTCGTGTTGTGTTTGCATTTGTCCGGTTTCACTGGTGAGTTATTTATTGAACACGTGCAGCAGGATTGGTTCCTGAGGTCTTTGATGTCTTTGTTCAGACCTTGGTACCAGGGACCACAACCACAGCCCTGCTGCAGCAGCTGGTCCCAGACACAGAGTACAATGTGGGCGTGGTTGCCGTGTACAGCGACGGCGAAGGACCCATCATTGCAGAAGAGGGAAAGACACGTAAGAGCTACGATTAATTTAACCTCGTTAGATGAACAGTAACGTTAAACTCTTTAGGATGAAAAAAAATCAACAAAAAACTCTTCTCCTTGTTTCCTCTGTCAGTGCCCAGAGGTGGTCCCAGAAACATGAACGTTTACGACCCCACCACCAGCACCCTCTCTGTAACCTGGGAACATGCGGACGGCCCCGTCATGCAATACCGCATCACATACGCTCCAACTGTAGGAGATCCCATTGATGAATATGTAAGAATATTTAAGTTACACCTTAAAAAAAAATCCAAAAGGTTCTCTGGATATTTTTCTTTAAATCCTGATGTGTTTGAACTTTACCTTTTCTCCACCAGACAACAGTGCCAGGAAACAAAAACAATGTCATCCTGCAAAACCTGGATCCAGACACGCCTTATAACATCAAAGTCACCGCAATCTATTCCGATGGACCCGGAGGAGAACTGGAAGGAGACGGACACACACGTACGAACCTTTCTCTCTTCACAACCAAATAAAACAAAAAATAAAAAATTTGACGCGGTGCCAGTTTTGAACAAACTGAAAGAAATCATTCAAGAACCTGGAAGTCAGTATTGATGATCGTTATTAAGTCCTTACACTGACTCAGAAAACCTGAACAGATTTATGCACCAATTACAATCAAGTGATACTCTTGGCATCCTTTGATTGTCGACAACAATGAGAATGATGACATTGTTCTGTTCCAGTAAAAAACGACTCAGCCAGTTTGTCCATTACCACAATTTATCAAACCAATCAGTTACAAAAAAAATATATAAATATTATGCAATTGGTGAAACTCTGAACTGAAGCCTTGTCCTAATCCAGCGTTTCCCAAACTTTTTTTCTGGGGACCCATATTTTAAAAGTCACCAAAAACCTTCGCGACCCAAGTCAATGGACATTATTTGTAAACTCCTGAGAAACATGATGCGAGACGACTCAAAAAAAAAAAAAAATCTCTTGCGACTGAATCTTTGGGAAACAATGTCTTAATCGTCTCTGTCCCGCACAGATCTTTGGGAAACCATGTCTTAATCGTCTCTGTCCCGCACAGTTGGCATGCTGGGCCCCAGGAACCTCCGTGTGTCAGACGAGTGGTACACCCGCTTCAAGGTGTCCTGGGATGCTGCTCCCTCCAGGGTCAATGGCTACAAGCTCGTCTATCAGCCCGAGGGTGAGAACGACTCATCATTAACGATCTCACGTTCAGGTGTTCTTGTACTTTCTACAACGTTGTCCTCCCGTCTCCAGGCTCTGATGAGTCCATGGAGGCGTATGTTGGAGACGTGACCACCCACCAACTGCACAACCTGAAACCTGGAACAACCTATGACGTGAAGGTGCTGGCGCAGTACAACACAGGCTTCAGTGAGCCTTTGGTCGGACAAGGAACCACATGTAAGACGATGAAGAAATCACTTCTTCACCGGATTTTACGAGGAACCAATTGATTATATCTTTTAGTTAGAGAAACACATGATGTCATGACAGGACCACCAGATACTTTGGAATTTGTTATGTTTCATTCTCAACAATGGGGTTAGATAAATAACTTTGATTGAGTTTTGGGAAGGATATGGTAAATTTGGATTGACAGGTACGATTCGCAGGAATATACACAGACAGCCAATAATCCAATAATTCCAAAGGTGAGGGGTTGAAATGCCGACCAAACTAACAGCAGCCTCACTTGGTGTCCTTCAGTGTACCTGAACGTCACGGACCTTCACACCTACGACGTTGGCTACGACTCCTTCTGCATCCGTTGGGCTCCTCACAGAGCGGCTACCTCTTACAGGCTGAAGGTCAATCCTTTTGACTGTGAGTGTTTTTTTTTTACCGAGCCGCCTCATCCGAAGATAAAACGAGGTTTTACTGAGCCGCCTCATCCGAAGATAAAACGAGTATATAAACCGGCACAAGATGGATTAAAAAAAGAATTCCTCCTCTCTTGTCCTTATTTCCTCTCTAGCCTCAAAGAGGGGGGCGCAGGAGGTCACCGTACGAGGCTCGGAGAGCAATTACTGCTTCGATGGTCTGTCTCCAGACTCACTCTACAACGCCACTGTGTTCACTCAAACCCCCAACATGGAGGGACCTGGAGTGAGCGTCAAGGAGAGGACACGTAAGAAAAAAAAAAAACAAACCTCTGTGTACAACTGCGTTACAGCTGTGTATCGTATGTCACTTTTCATTTACTGCATTTGTTTGCTTTTTGGCTCCCAGTGGTTAAGCCCACAGAGAGGCCCACTGAGCCCCCCACTCCTCCTGCTCCAGCCACTGCCCCCCCTGCTCTGGATGGTGCGTAGACTTTGTCACAATCTGTCTGCCAACAATAATGAGTTTTGGCTTTAAATAAAAAAAACAACAACTTTTTTTTTCCTGTGTATTTGTGCCACAGTGTGTAAAGGTGCCAAGGCCGACCTGGTCTTCCTCATCGACGGCTCCTGGAGTATTGGAGATGAGAGCTTCGCCAAAGTCATTCAGTTTGTTAAGAGCATGACCGGAGCCTTTGACGTCATCAGCCCGAAGGGAATGCAGGTCATGCAACATCTCACGTTATCTTTTTTGAAGATCTTGTTTATTTCGCTGCCCATTCTTTAATCCGGACTTTTTTTTTTTTTTAAACAGGTTGGATTTGTTCAGTACAGTGATGATGCCAAGACAGAGTTCAAGCTGAACACCTACCATGACAAGGGCGTGGTGTTGTCAGCTCTGGAGAAGGTTCGCTACAGAGGAGGAAACACGAAGATAGGTAGGGTGAGATCTTCTGATCTTCTGGTGGCACAGCGAGAGAACTTTAAAGAGCCATTGATAACACTCCGGTCCATTCTCTTCGCACAGGAATCGCTCTGAAGCACGTCTACGAGAGAGTGTTCACCTCGGATGCAGGGATGAGGAGGAACGTCCCCAAGGTGCTGGTGGTGGTCACTGATGGACGCTCCCAGGATGACGTCAAGAAGAACGCAGAAAAGCTGCAGCAGGCCGGTCAGTGTGGACTTGATGATTATAGTCATGTGTATTATTGTTTGACTTTGTACACCACATATAAAACTCAATAATTCACATTTCCTCTTTTTTTTGGCTAACTCAATCAACTGTTAGCTGCGAACCTGCCAGCTATTACTGGAAGCTAAACAATAGTCTTTTTTTTCTGTGTGATTTCTTTTCCTCCACAGGCTACAGTGTGTTTGTGGTTGGAGTTGCTGATGTTGACGTAGCAGAGTTGAGACTCATCGGCAGCAAGCCCAGCGAGAGACACGTGTTTTTGGTCGACGACTACGATGCCTTCGATAAGATCCAGGACAACCTGATCACCTTTATCTGTGAAACGGCGACCTCTAGTAGGAAATACTGTCACATCACATCACATTGTTTTCAGCACTGTGGCCAATGAGACGACTCCTGATGTGATTTTTGTCCCGTTTCAGCCTGCCCCCTGATTTACATCAATGGATTCACGACACCTGGTAGGAATAAACATTTTTTAGCAAACATTAACAGCTTGCTGAAATTACAAAATTGCTCCTATGCTTTGCTGGGTTCCAGTACTTTTCCATGCTCTCAACATGACTAATATTATTTTCCTCTCCAGGTTTTAGGATGCTGGAGGCCTTCAACATCACAGACAAAAACTTTGCAGGGATGAACGGTGTGTCCATGGAACCAGGCTCCTTCAACAGCTTCATCGCCTACAGGCTGCACAAGGACGCCTTCTTGAAGCAGCCCACCAAGTAAGAGCTGATTCCGATATGATAATCATCCTCAGCCCGCAGTCATTATTTGCAATCATTGTCACCAGCTTTTATAGACAGCAGGGCTTCCCTTCTGCCTTTGGCACTAAGCCCACAGCCATTTCTTGGTACATCATGTGGATTATGAGGGTTCGAAGTTAAAAACCCCTCAGATCAGAACCTCCTCCCACCACTGTCATACAGGAAACAGGTTTCATCCCTGTTTCCACCACTTAAGTGGCGCTGAAGGACCCCGACTTCTGCAGCATACTTTGGTTAATATGTTTATAATGAAGTGTATTTGTGTGCGTGGGCACAGCCTTTCACTAAATGTGCACAAATGGAAACACTCGAAACCGCGGCCAAGAGAAAAGGAGCAGGGACAGAAAATACTTTCAATATGTGGTCAAGTCCCATAAGGCCAAAAGGAAAGCTGGCAATCAAGTGCACATTGTGTAGTCACAGACTGGGACACAGCAGTGGGATTTAATACCCCGGGTTTTATGTTCTCACAGGTGAGACTTCAGCTCTGACTGTAACAAGGACGCGATTGTGACTCGCTGAACTCTCGCTGTGTGTTTTTCACATCAACAGGGAGGTCCACCCCGAGGGTCTTCCACCATCTTACACCATTGTCCTGCTCCTCCGCCTGCTGCCCGACACACCCAACGAGCCTTTCGATATCTGGCAGATTTCGGACAAAAACAACAACCCTGAAGTCGGACTGACTGTCAATCGTAAGACTCTCATTACGTCTTGGCTCGCTCCTTCTGAGCTGCTGTTTATTTAACAAGTGAAGGTGCTGTTGACTCTAGCGCTGATCATATTCAGATGAGGCAGGACGAATTCCTACAATAGCAAACATTGATTTTTAGATTTTTTTTAGCCACTTTTTCAGATGTGGTTAATGCATGCAAATAATTAGGGGTCGCGAACCTAATCCCTTCAGGCTTACTCTCCATCCCTCCCTTTGCCTTACTAGCATGTGTTCTCGGTCCGTGCTTTGCGTGCCACTGCATCATAACACACTGTCAGGGATTCATCAAGGCCTCTGCTCTTTTCAGCTTCCAGTAAAACAATCACATTCTACAATAAGGACACCCGAGGAGAGATCCAGAAAGCCACGTTTAATGAGGAGCAAGTGAAGCGGGTTTTCCATGGGAGCTTCCACAAGGTAAACACAACAGTAAAGTCCTACAGAATGGGCTGCTGTGTGCTGCACATAGTGATATTATTAAAGCTTGGCCACAGTAGAACGGGCTGACAAATCGGATTATCACTGACATATTGGTTTTAACTCTCTTCATGTGTCTTTGAGTGATTTTAATGATTGATTTAGTTTGGTCGGATCACTTTTTTTTTTTTTTTCTGATGTTGAAACACTTTCTGTGATTTAGTATAAACCTCTGTTTTCTGGACACTGGGTTGTTAATTTGATAAATTGTTGGTTTATCGAGGCATTCGATACCTATTAGGAGTGAAGACCTCATTCATCCAGAGAAACATTACTGAAGAAAAAAAAAAAACCCACTGATGTCCGCCCACATTAAAACCAGACACTATCTTTTAGCTGCCGGGTCATAAATCCCAAACCAGTCCACACCCAAATGGAGGAAAGCATTTTCAAGAACAGACTGTGAAATGATCCAATTTTAATGCAACTCCATGGTACTTGTACACTGCATGGAAAGAATTAAGTAAGTAATTCCTTCCTTAGGAGCGAAGTCTCTTGGTGGGGCGGCATGTCGACAGATTCACTCGAGCACTTTTCTAACAATCTGTCAAAACCTTTCAACTAATTTAGAGGTCCCACCAACAATGGTGTTATTGTGTTGCAACCTCTCTGCTTCTACTCAGCGGTGTAACCACCACATTAGGCCCATATGCCAGGCTTACAGCTGTAATAAACAGCATTTGTGTAATATGGACTCTCCTGGGCCCACAGCACGAGGTAGTGAACGACACATCCAGCTGAAGGCAGGAGTGAAGACAAAACTTCCTCTGTAACGTTCGACCACAATTGGGTGTCAAGTGTAAAAACAAAAAATGAGGGACAGTATATTTTCATACTGACTTGGAACGCCGGAGCAAGACTGACTTGTTTATAGTGCAGCCCTCGACACCGCACTCCTTATTTACAGCACCGATTATGTTCTCCCTCAATTCGACAACGAAACAAAATGCATGACCCATTTTCAACAAAGCAAGGACTTATCTAACAGCAGAACCCCCCCGCGCCCCCCCGTCCCCGCAAACCACCCGCCTCCCACTTCCTGGACTTAAAGGTTTTTTGAACCGAGGAAAAGATGAGTGCAATTTTGATTGGCTCTCAGATCAGAGGGTACTGTACATGGATTTTTAGTTTCGACATTTTTGCACCCACACAAATAATTGGTGCGGTAACTTCATGAATGAAAGAGACCTTGGAAAATGTCGGCTCAGGACAGGACGTAGAATGACATCAGCGCTGGTCTCATTGGGCAGCCGTGCGATCTGTGTGCGATCTTGTTCTCCCTGTCGACATGTAAACTGGGTGGCTAGCTTTTGTGGTGAAGAAGTTGATGTTTGGTGAGCTGGTGAGTCTGCAGCGGTTTACCTAGCTGCTCATTTGCTGGTCTGCTGAGTGAGTGCCACTGCCAACTGCTGTGGTGGTGCTGTGTTTACACACTGTCAGAGGTTTCCCAACACACTTTGTCTATGGCTGTTACAGAGTGTGCTCTATGTCTCTGAGAGAGTGTGTGTGTGTGTGTGTGTGTGTAAGGGAGAGTGACTTGGAACAAATGGCAGTTGGGCCTCAAAGTCTCCATTTGTCAAGGAGAACAAAAGAAAAAGCCATTGACTCGACTGTTTGCTCGACACCTGAAGGCACTTTAGGTACTTTAGTAAATCTACACAAAATTGATTTACTAACAATTGGTAGTTTTCTCCCAAATGCACCGCTGCCATCTTTAGATTCTATCTTCCTCTAGGAAACTTTTCCACCAGAAATTCCCAAATAATTTGCAAATTCAAAAAAATAAAAAATACAGACAAAGGTTGGCATCACAGCAGCTGGAAAAATGCCTTTTACTTTCTCTGTCCCATTTGGACTAATTGCCTACAATTTTAATTTAAAAAAAAAAAAAAGTTCCTGAATCGACACCTCTAGGTTAGAGGAAGGCTGCTTACTGAAGAGTAACTCAGGCTCCAAAGGTGGATGAACATGTGGGAAAGCTCTCAGAGATGACTATAGCAGATGCTGGCGAGTCACTCAGTACCCCACTGGGGAATGCCATCCCACACTGCAAGGGTGGGAGTCCTTTTTTGGAACCTTCCTGTCGACCAAAGTGAAGACATTCCTACAGTTTGATGCTGAAAAGTGGACGGCCCTGTTGTTCCTTGGGAATTCTTGGACTCGGCCTTTCAATCTTTCCTTTTAGGGACTGCGTTTGTGCCAGACTAAGTATGACAGTGTGGGGAGGTGACCGTGCTTGTTTGCCAAATTGTCCTGTGACTGCACTCTTTGTGCTCTTTTTTCTTTCCTTTTAGAGGATGAGAACAAGTTGAGGGAGCAACCATTAAATCCCATCAGAAATGCAGTAAACGTCACGTTAACCTCCCTCTGCAGTGTATACTTGTCAGATGCTTTGTTAAACAGATGGTAACTTGTTAGTACATGCATGAAAATTAAAAGAGCAAAGTCATCAAGGTTGGGAAATGTGAAACATGCATGAAAATTAAAAGAGTAAAGTCATCAAGGTTGGGAAATGTGAAAATGGAGAATCCAAGATAGATCCAAAACCAACATTATAACAGAATGATAGACATTGGGGGGAGCAGACACGGTGCCTGAAATCTCACCGTCGGAAACCCCTATGTACTCTAATGTAGTGTTGACACAGTGAAGCCCTGTAAAACCCTCAGTGTTAACTCTGAGAACGAATGGAAATTGTTCATCTGTCAGCACTTAGGCTGCAGAAGCTCCAGATCACTTCAGAGTAAGTGGGTCTATCTGTGGGAGCAGTGGACACTGGAGGGATGGATCTGCTGTGCTCTGACTTTCCATTGACTGGAGTGGGTTTTTTTTTTTGTTATGTTTATTTATTGGTCAGTGAGGTCATACATGCTCATTATTTGCCCTCCCACTGTATTACACAATCCCTCAAGAGCATCATGGTGTAGTCTAACCATGCCAGGACCACGGGATAAACGACACCCCTGTCTCTTTGCGGTCCACCATCCAGTTTCTTCCCTTGCCAAGGAAGTCAAATGTAATTTTGTGATTGGTTGCCAAGAACTAGAGCCTAGTCTGCGGTTGGTATGGCTTTGTCAAGAGGAATGGTAGCTTGCTTTTCCTGACATAAAGAAAGCCTGTCTGACTGATGAGCAGGGGAAAATTTGCAACTGTGCAGGGAAAGTATGGAAAGTGTAGAACCGTCGATGGCACGCCGCAAATGATATCGTTTCAAGATGTGGAGCCGGGTTCTACGGACAGGAAACTTCCAGATTTGGCACTTTGTCATTCCACAATGTTATACAATCGCTGACTGCAGCTTTAATGTTGGAGGCTGTGGACAGAAACTGTTGTGTTTCCGTTTTTCATGGTACATTTATCTGCACAGCCATCAAACGACTGTCTTGAGCCAAACGGGTAACCGCTGCGGAGTAATATCAGAATCTATAATTAACATAGGTCTGGAAAGACTAAACAATTCCCAAGAGTCTCGCAATTACGAAGAGCCCATTATCAGCGGCTTTATGAATTTCAGATGACTCACATGGTTTAAAAGGTTTAGACTGGATGTTTCCATACTTGCATTGCATCTTAATATCCCAAATAAAAATGTGTGCCAAATCTAGCTTCTCAGATTCTCCTATGCCCTCAGAACTATGTGCCTCATTAGTTCACTTCAAAAAAAAAAAAAAAACCTGCAAAGTCCGAAGAGACGAGATAGATTTGTTAACGCTGATCTCCATTCATTTTCTTTGTCCTGCAGCTGCACATCAGCGTTTCTCCAGAAAAAGTCAAACTCAACCTGGACTGCCAAGAGGTTGCGGAAAAGCCGATCAAAGAGGCCAACAATATCACACTTGAAGGGACTGAAGTGCTTGGCAAGATGGTGAAGTCTGGAGGCGGAAGAAAGCAATCTGCAACAGTAAGTGAAAAAAGACTCTTTTGCAGAGGACGGGCATCCAAAACAGTCGGTACGTACTGTCGATGCACAATTGGTTTTTAACTGATCACAGTCGCCGCTGATTGGACGAAGACCTCCTTTATTGTTCTCTTCTCGCTGCCTCCTTTTTGTCTACTTTAGGAATGTCCATTTTTATTGTGAATGACATTCACTTGTAAAAACCCTGACTGTTTTCCTTCTCCCTTCTGTTGTGTAGTTCCAGCTCCAGATGTTTGACATTATCTGCAGTTTGAGCTGGATGAACCGGGACAAGTGCTGCGAACTGCCCGCCACGGTAAGAACAAGTGTCACCGTAGGATCATCGAAACGCATGAGATAACCAGCGCCATGAAGTGGTGCAGTTTTAGAGCCATTTGTCTGTTCTTGGTGAAACAGGACCATAAATCTGAAACTTCAAGGCTGATGAGTAGAAAGCTGTTTGTGAACAAAGGGCCTCAGTGTAGCTGCAGTCATTTCTGCTGTCGCAAACAAGCTTCGAAAAATGCTCAAAAACAAGTTCCTCCTTCAGATCACACAACAACCAGCGTAGTATAGTATAGTATCAATCTGAGTACACGATTAAAACGCTGTAAGACGCTAGAACAGCCATTGAATTATAGACAATTGGACTGCAATTAAATATGTTACTAATACATTTACATCAACAATTACAGTTTCCCGACTTTTTTGTGCACCACAAAGCAAAAATGGCACAAAGGTAATAAAAATATAATCGTATTCAAATTTCCGAGCCTGTTTAGTTGAACTTAACACTAATATACTCACAGGAATTGAAGAAAGACAAACAAAAACAAAGAAAACCCAGTCAATAAATAGTAGTTTCCAGACGAATAAGTTAAACTGGATTTGCATAAAGCCTTGTCATCAAAAACATTTTCACCTCTAGTCTAATAAACTGTCCGTCAGAGCCTCAGTTTTTACCCCCCTGGTCTTAGTCGTTAACCCCAAAGACCTCTGTGTGTCTTTTCTAAATTTCCGTCTTTGTCTTTCTTCACAGAGAGATGAAGCCAAATGTCCAGCCCTACCTCACTCATGCACGTGCACACAGGACAGCATCGGCCCTCAGGGGCCACCTGGACCTTCGGTAAAGACACCCGTCCGGCCGCCTCACATTAACGCATTTCTCTCTGTGTGTTGTTTCTATTACACATTTGTATCTGATGATAAACTCTTTCTTCACTTTGACGTGATACTGTCATACAAAAAAAAGACATTCACTGGACTCACTGTCCACTGAATCAGGAAAGGTAATTTCCTATTTTTTCCCATGGAAAGAGCAGAGGTGGATGAGACCAGTGGCACGCTCAGAAATATGGGCCCAGGGAGAAGTGTCAAAGGATAAACGCCTGTTGGAAAAACAACTGTAAAAACGTCTCAGGCAGAAGTCTGGGATCTGTGAGCTTGGTATCCTCACTAAGCCCCAGTGAGGATTTCATAGGGCTCAGGGTTTTAGGGCTTTTGGAATTCACTCCCCTTGTTACTTTTTTTGCTCAAGAGTTTCTGGCTCTTTGTCCCTGCAGGGCGGCCCAGGTTCTAAGGGACCACGAGGAGACCGAGGAGAATCTGGCAAACCTGTGAGTTCACCTTTAAATATTTCAATCACCAGCAGGTTTTTTTTAAAATTATTATTCTCTTTAATTTCACTTTTTTATGTTGATTGTTTGACACGTGATCTGAAGATGTCCACAGCCGATGCCACCGCTTAATGTAAAAATCTAAACGTCTTATTGCCATGGAATCTAAGAAGCTATTTTTACACCGCGTGGAAGTAAAAATGTAAACGTCTTATTGCCATGGAATTTAAGAAGCTATTTTTACACCGCGTGGAAATGATTCACATCTGAAGTCAGTTATCAAGCACGGCTGGAGATGTCATTTCATTTCAGACCCTTAGAGGGCCTTTCTCTACATTTTTTCTTCTGTCTCTACACGTACAGTAAAATGTGTAGGTCTAATCTGTGTGATATATTTTAGGGTCCAGTGGGTCCACGTGGTGAGTCAGGACCCCCAGGCTCAATGGGACCACCTGGCCCTCAAGGTCCTAACGGACTATCTCTACCTGGAGAGCCTGTAAGTGTACCCAGACTCTACACACCATATATATTTATATGTACATATATATATGAAGCGTGGCCAATTAAAACATCACACAGGAGTATGAGGTGGAGTTAATGCACTTTCCTTCACGAGTGTTCTGTACGTGTGGGTATAAAAGTTGGGAGTGAGAGTGGTGGAGCAGCTGAGGAGCAGATCTGTGGAAGATTTACAGCTACAGTTAAAACACATCACACTCCCAGCTATAGGCAGCGAGGCCGCTCCTCTGTTTTCTTACCTGCAGATGTTTTTCTCAGAACACGACATCAATCACAACCTCCCCCCCTGTACCCCCCC